CTAATGTAGATGCCCTGCCTGTCTAAAAGTTCCAGTTCGCTAGGGCTCCAGCAGGAGCTTTGCCTGTGGCTGTGCTGTCTGGAGGATTCCAGTGGTTGAGAGAGAAGCTCAGCAGATGTCTCCTTGCCCAGTCCTGATGGTGCCTGGAAATCTGGTTCTGTCTTTTTCCAGACAGTGCTTCCCCTGAGGACTGTCTTCCAGGAGACCAGGTTGACAGTGCAAATGTGGCCTGGTCTGTGGTCCCCTATTGGGAGTTTCCTGCCGGCCAGGGAGGTCAGACTCCTCGTTCCTGCAATGCCTTTTAGATAAAACACAGCTCTGGACTTTGGTGGCTCATTCCCATCCTGCACCTCCCCTTCCTGCTCTCCAGTCAGTCAATCTGCTTATTTGCACCCTGGCCAACTCCAGCAGGCTGTCCTCCATCCCACTATCCAAATCTGATGAGAGTAACACCCTGCAGCCAACTCCATCCCCAGACTCGAGGAGACAGTGTCACCTCAGGCTGGCTTGGTGCCACATTGTCTTGGGCCTGTGGTGTGTGCCGGAAGCCTAGCTATTGGGTCTGTAACACCTACATGTCCAGGGGCAGCACTAGTCATGACACCCAGAAATGGAACCAAGGGGCTCTGTAGCTGTAAGGCAGCAACGCTAACCACTGTGCTACCATACACACCTTACCTAGTTCTAATTTTGAAGAACTTCGCAACACAAAATCATCTCTGTAAACAGTGTCACGAACAGTTCTTTCCTGGCCCTATGCAGAAGACACGATTCCGAACGGAGTGAGGAAACACTGGGGAAAAAGTCATGCAGGAGAGGGTATGGAGACGGGGGCATGTCCAAGGGGTGCAGGTGTCCAGGGGTAGTGATTCCGGCGCAAACAATCCATGTAGAACTCCAAACTGGTAATCCAAGACAGAAGCTAAAGTCCATGGCCAGGCAATCCATCCGGGGGAAAAAGAACGGGAACCGGGTTGGAACCGGCGGGGGGGATCAGCAACAGAGTTAAAACCATAATGCAGCAGACGCAGCAGGACCCGGGCTCTCACGTAACGGGATTTAATGAAGAGCCTCGAGTGACGTCTGCGTCTGGCTTTTAAGGTGGAACTGAAGTGGGGCTGAAATAAGGAACAGGTGTGGGTAATGGGACAGAACGAGGAAGGGCTGGAGCGCCCTTAGGAGGAGGAGTAGCGATCGTGACAAACAGTCTCTAATCCTTAAAAGAGAGAATTCTTAAGAAATAAACCAAGAAGCCAAAGAAAATAATTACTATACAGAAATGTGTAGTGATGCCATGAAAACAATACCCAGCACTCTTACCTTGAAAAGTCATCTTCAACTTCTACAAATAATGCAAGTTGTATTATACACAACATCATATCCTTAATTCAAAAGATGTAAAACTGCATTCACGATCATACAAAACCACAAACTCCATTAATGCTAGCATTAATGAGAGACTGAGAGAGCTCACCTGTGACTTTGATGCTGCAGGGCCTTGAGGATGTGACATTGATCTCCCACAGTCCAGTCTGGTTCTCCAGGTACACAGTGTATAAATTCCCCACAGCATGCAGCCTGCCTAAAGGTCCTTCTATCACAGAACTGTTCTGAGATAAACCTGCAGGAGTCACATTACAATAAACACAACACTTGTTTTGAGTTGTACAGGACAGAGGAAAAGTGTGTCATTATAGAGATGAGATGTTATGTATTGTCTGCTGTACAGAACAGCAATAACATGTTGTTGTGCAGCAATAACAAGTTGTGAGGTCCTTTTGCTGATAAATGTTAGAGGTGAAGTATTTTGACTGTAGTAGAGGACTGACATCAGACATTATTGTTGGTGTTACCAGTGATTTGTTAATACTTACGTAGAATAGAGTGTGTTACTCATTGTAACAGTTTTCAATGGAAAGACAAACTGTGTGTTGTAAAGGACAGAGGTGTTATTTGCTTGTTGTATTAGGATGGTGATAGTGTTTGTTCCCAGAGGACAGAAATGATTTTTATAAAGGAAATGTTGAATTCCTTTTTCTGTAAGAAATAAACAGTTTTATATTTTTCATTGCAGTTTCTGCTAACACCAAAAAAATGTTTAGTTTGAGCTTTTAAGTTTTGATTAAATGCCTGCTTAAATGTTTTTCCTAGATCATTTCTAAGTCACCAAAATAAGACACTGTTGGAAGGGGCCGATTCTTTTTGCAAGACACAATGTAGAAGAAGGAAACCTTAGCTCCTTTAAAAAATCAAACCATCTCTTTTTCTCACTCTTTCCCTGGTACCCCGGTCTCCCAGAAACTTGAATGTAGGTGGTGTGTTTCTGGCATGCACATACATTTGCAAAGGTTTGGGCACCCCTGGCCAAACTACAGATTTTGTTGATTTTCTAAGTGAAAAGAAGTAAACACAACCTCTGCAGCGAACAAAATAAAATTTGACATATTTTTGCGAATTGTAACGCACAGTTACTATTTGTTGAAATAAATTAGCTAAATTTAACAGATTGAAACAAATAAAACAGTAAATGTGGCATGTACAGGCATGTACAAAAGTTTGGGCACCCTATCAGTCAGTACTTAGTAACACCTCCTTTGGAGTTTGCATTAACTCCTTTGCACTTAGAAAACCAACAAAACATGTTATCTGGCCAGGGATGTCCAAATATTTGCATACAACTGTATCATTATCAGGCTTGGAACAAACACACTGTCTGAATATAAGGATACGATAGAGTCTGCTAGATCCAGAAACTTCTGTCACATCATTGACAATAACCATAATAACCCAGCCAAACTGCCCCACCACATTACCCGCCTCATTGCAACTTTGCAACATATTTTTTTGTTCATGTTTAGTATCCAGAAAGGCACTATATACAGTAAGTGTATTTATTCTTTTCCTTATTTTTCTTATTATGTATTGCCTTTTGTATAGGTTAGAGGTGATGTGTTGCCTTTTAAACAGGGCAGAGATGAAATGCTATTTTTCCTTACCTGCAGGGCTGTGCAGTTTGAAGTTGAGGAAGCTCCCTGTGATGTAGAGAGTGAGGTTACTGACCGAGGGGTCAACATAGAATGAAAATATTTCCTCTGTTTTTCCTGGGTCAGTCACAGACTGGAACAGTGTCACCTAGAATCAGAGATCAATAAATGTTTAAGTGGATGAATACCATAAAATGAAAATGACCAAAATGTGATATCAATTATGAAGTTTAACCATTTCACTAGAAAGCAGAAACATCTCAGCAGACGTATAATTTGTACTTACATTAAAGTAAACAAGCAAGGAAAGCTTTGTTTATCTTTATTACAGCTAATCAGTGTGACAGCTCTAGACACATAAAACTTAAAAAAGTAATAAAAATGACTGTCCTTAGCAGTAACCACTTGCACTTCTTACAGTATATGTGTGGACTTTGATTCTCACCAGTGTCTGCTTGCACTTGTTGTCTTTTTTTGTTTTCCACTTCTGCCCTCTGAATCTGCACTCTAATTCCCCTAGCAAAACTAGCTCTCTGCTCCACACAGGCAACAGGCACTCTACTCAATTCCCTAATATTCACATATTCCCCAGTATATCAGAGGAATGAATGTACTAAATATCTGCATTTGTTCTTGAGACTGATTTTATGTTTCCACATCCTATTGCTTTTCCAATTATTCTCTTCATGTGCAACACATTTCTATAATAGGACAGTCACAATAACATTGATCTTGACACCATGTAAGAATGTAAGGTGAGAAAAATCTGAAAGGGCTCTCTATTGGATCTCACTGGCAATAATCACTAGTCCAAAAAATCAGCACAGAGATTAAATATCCCTGTAGATAAACTTTCTAAAGACAAAAATAATCTATTAATTAAATGTACCATTATAAAGCAGACAAAAATAAACAAACTCTTTTTTTATCACAAATTTACTTTCAGCACACACAATGGCATTCAGTAATAATAGATATAGGTATGTATAGGTATATAGAAAGAGAAAAATAATGTTAGAGCTTTGACTGAGAAGTTTCTCTTAGATTTAAGATAAATTGTAACACTTGTCAGAGTAAACACTTCTATTTTCAAAGCAGAGAGGATGTTTGTTGAAATGTGGAGGTCCCTTGTTAAGAAACCAACATACCTAAGGATACCTAGGTAAGCTTTGGATTGATGATTGTCAACAAGCAGTACAGAAACACACCATATAAGATCACATTAAGAGCACAGGGCGAACAATGAAAAGAAAGAAGAAGCAGGAAAGAAGAGAGAGAGAAGAATGGAGTCTAGAGGCGCTGGAACTTGTACCAGACGAGAGCCCTTACTTCACGATCATCCAAACAAAACCTGACTGGAGCTATCTCAACCTTGCTAGAGAGAGCTTGCTGTTCTGTGTTGTTAGGGAACTTGGGTTCCTGGGTAAAAATATCTCTGTTAGAGATGTCTTTCCTGCTGAAGGTGTTTATTTTAGAAAAGGGAGATAGGATCCCATTTGTTTTGCGGCACCCAGATTTGTGGCACAGAGATTTAACTGCAGGTTGTATTGCATTTACTGTACTAAAAAGACAGCTTATCTCTTATGTGGCCTCTGTAGGCATTAAGAGTTTCATGCTTAGTAGACATCTGGGGTTTTTCTGGGTGATCGGAATGTTAGGCCTCTGAAATGCTTTATCTGTAAATACTGTACATAGAGTAACTTGTGTGCTGTATGTTTTGTTGTGTGTAGTGTAGTTTGTGTCTTGTCATTAAAATAAGCATTTGTTTAACCAAGTGTGTCTGGATTATTCCTCTTTTCACCAAAGCTGTGCCAGAAATAAAGAATTCATGTGCCTCTAATTATACCAGGCGGGTATATTCTGTAGAAACCACTTACAAGTTGGGGGTTATGGATAATTATTGTACTTATTGACTAAGCTGCTCGGTTAATTCCTGATTTCACAATTTTTGGAACCCCCATTTGTAATTATCTTGCCAGTGCAACCTCTGATAAACTGAGATGCAACACTGAAAGCATGTTTTACCAGAGCAGCACTGGAGGAAATGATGGCAGAGGCCTCCGACAGTTGACCTTTGCTGACGCGTACTGCCTGCCCCCCTGATGTCTGTGCCAGGTCCTGGTACAGCAGGGCTGCATCTTGAGAGAGTCGACCTGCAATCAGCTGCCCGTGTTCCTGACTACTGCTGCTCCACCGTCGCCGCCGAGACAGGCCGGCTGTGAGCAAGAAGCTGACCTGGAGGTTAAAAACAGAGAGATGGTTAAAAAAGCAGAGAAAGTGCTTTAGCTGGAGTGTCCAGAAAAAGAGTTATATAAATGAAAGTT